CATCAATTAGCTCTTAGACCTTATATTTCAAGGTCAAACAGTTGTCCGTTGAATGCCCAGGTGCATCCGAGTGATAGCTACAATTTTCGTTGGGCTTGTACCACTCGGGGTAGGGAGGCTCTATTTTCTTTGGAGGGACGCGGGCTAGAAGGTTGGCCTGTAACAACTGGGGCAACAGCTTTGCGTACGAGGTGGGGATAGGGGTGAACTTCCTCTCCTTTCGTCGTGAATGCCTCTTTGTTTGAGGAGTGGAGGAAGGGGTTGCAAATTGATGGCGTGTACGACCTCTTCCTTCTTTTTGAAGGGTTTCTTGAAGGAGGTACTGGAAGAAGAAGGTCGTGCTATTTTCCCGCTCCTCAACCCCTGCTTCACTCTTTCTCCTACAGTGACTATGTCCGAAAAAAGATTAGAGGTACTGGCTATTGCCTTATCGTAGTATGCTCCAGTTAGTGAATCTATGAACATAGCTACTGTCTCCTTATCAGTCAGTGGAGGTTCTATTTGGGTGGCCATTTCCCTCCACCTTTGGGCGTACGCTTTGAAGGATTCGTCGTCCCTTTTGCTTAGGGTCTTGACATCTGACCTGTCAGGGGTCAAATCGATATTGTATCGGTAACGACGAAGGAAAGCGTCGGCCAGTTGTTTCCAATTTTGAACCTGCCCTCTTTCTAACTGCATGTACCAGTTGAGAGTTGTATCGGCCAGACTCTTCTGGAAGCAGTGTATAAGGAGTTTTTCATTTTCAGCGTGCGCGGCCATCTTACGACAATACATCGTAAGATGGTTCTTGGGGCAGGTTAGCCCGGCGTACTTGGGGAAGTCCGGGACTTTGAACTTGGGAGGGAAATGGATATTCTTCACCAGACACATATCCACTACCTCCTTGACGTCGAAATTGTGCCCCTCGACCGCCTTCAGCCTTTCCTCTAGGGCGGATATTTGTTGCTTAGAGACCTCTGGGGTGAGGATGCGTACAGTCTTAGGATCTTTTCCATCGTAGAAGACTTCCTCTTCTTCCTCCTCTTCATGACGAAAGGTGTTTTCCGCATGGGTTTCACCCTTATTTTGCCCTTGGCGTATGACCTCCATTAGTTGAGCCATCTGTTCGCGGAGGGTGTTAACCTCTGTAGTAAGCTTACGGTTTTGTTCCTCTAAGTTCTCCATGTAAGAATTAATGGTTGAGTTCAAGAGGGGGGGGTGAATTGAACTTTAGAAAACTTTTTCACAAAACACACTTTCTTTGGAAGAATGATTTATCTTTATTCAATTCTTCTATTAGGTAGATTTGGTTTTAATCACAGCAAGAATATAGACAAGAAATAAAAGAGATGAAAGCAGAAATACAACACAAAAGTTTATACTGGTTCACTCTTTCCCAGAGCTACATCCAGTTCTTGACAAATCTGTCAAGTTCTACTAATTCCAAGTGAAAATTACAACCAGTAGATTTACACCAATCTACCCCAAGAACTATCTCACAAACCCACAAGATAGATTCTTGAATAACCACCCAGTAACCAAATCCAGTTACTGTAACCAGTGCAGATTCAACACCCAATCTACACAATCACACTTTATACAAGAATATGAAAAAAATAAACCTGGACTGTAGCTTTAAAAATATAGAAGTCCAGAAGCAATTCTAACTCAGAACTTTCTCTCTTTGATGAACAACAATCTTGATCAAAGCACCTTATGATATGAACAGTTTTTGAATGCACAGAGAAAGTCACGGATATGATAGTTCTAAGATTGCTCTCAAATGTTTTCACAAATTGTATGTTTCAATAGACAAATCAAAAATGTATTTATAGAATAAAAAAGAGAACCTGATTGTCTAAATTGATTAAAACTGATTTAGAGTAACAAATGATCGATCAGAATAATAATATAACAAGTCAGAATCAGTTATGATCAATCAGAATAGTTTTATGACCGATCAGAACCAGTTATGATCGATTAGAATCAAATTGTGATTGATCAGAATTCTTTTCAATCGATTAAAACGACGTTTCAATCAATTGATTTTATTTAAAACTGCATTCAATCGATTGATTCGAGTTTTCAATGGATTGAAACAGTTTTAGAAAAAATGATAGCTCTCTGTTTCAACAGATTAAAAAATATTTCAACAGATTGAAATTCTGAGATACTCCAAATTAAAAAATAACATCTCTCTGTTTCAACAGATTGATCTATTTTCAACAGATTGAAAATGTGCAACCTTTAATTGAACAAAAATCATTACGAACATTTTAACATGTTGATTCTGCGATTCAATCAATTAAAATTTTGACTATATATGAACATTTTCTATGTTAAGTAATTTTAACAGATTGAAACTTCTTTTTAACAGATTGAAAAACTCAGTTTGTTCTTTTAATGCTTAAAGGTTGGTTTTTCATGCAGAAAAATAAGTTTAATGAGATGCATCATTTCAAGGCGCTTATCACAAGATCTATTGAACTATCAAGAGATTAAATTCTAAACCTATAACCTATTCACCTACACACCCACAAACTAAACTCTATAAACTTTATATGTCTTCATCAAATCCAACAAGTGCTTCACTCCATTGCTCTGGCCATTTGTGCACGAGTTCGGATGGGGAGAGGACCAACCACTTTCTAGAATGCCCGGAAGAAATTTATTAATGCATGTTGAGTGTTGAACTAACATGGATATGTTTATGTATGAGAGATTCTGTTTAGATGATGCTAAATGCACTCTCACTTTTTATTTTCTCTCTTGGTATTTCTTTACTCATGATATGATGTTTTATGGATGATACGACTTTGTCAGAAGTTGATTTATTTTCTAGTTTTGACTTGTATTTTGATTTTTTGTTATAGCCTTTTATCTCTTCTGTCGGACTGCGTGGCTACTTAGCTTACAAAGAACCTGAAACCAGGCTAGCTAAAAGGCAGACTATTCGAGATAAAAAATGGCTTTATGCGAAAGAATAGTTAACGTCCCTTATCTCTTCTGTCGGACTGCGTGACTACTTAGCTTACAAAGAACCTGACACCAGGCTAGCTAAAAGGCAGACTGTCCGAGATAAGGGTGTTTATTACAAAAGAGTGTTTTTTGTGATTTTTCTGTTGTTTGGTTATGCTATGCAACAGACAAATGCAACAAACAGATGTACACACAATTCGATCATCCACGAACAGGCGAGAAGTCGTTTTAATCACGAGGTAGGATTTTCCTGCAGAAAAGTGCATTGGCGAAGGTAGGTTGTAACTGTTCTCACCAAGGCTAAGGCCCCCAAGGTGCCCCCATTATAGGGTCCCCACTCTCCAGCCTTCCGACCATGCTTAGCACTAAGGCCATAGTCAGTCTTTGTGCCAAAAGAGGAAGGTTATCACCTTGAGTGGTGGTTTCCGATCACACTGATGGGCACAAGGCCATCACTACAGCGAATCGTACCTGCCACCCACTCCCTATGGATTTCTCACTTGCCCCCGGGTATAGAGGGAACTGTAGTGTGCAAGGATTTGTGTATAGTTTGTATTTCAAACAATTGCGTAAGTATAAACAGACAACAGTTATTAAAGCCAAGCATTAAAACATGTTATAATACAAGGTGGGGTAAAAGCGTAATTTTCTTAGTTTATTTATTTTTAGCTGGCCCATCACTAAATGGGATCAACTCTCTAAGCTTCCCCAGTGGAGTCGCCATCTGTCGCCGCCGTCAAAACGAGGCGGTCGGAGCGACGCGATGATTCCGACTTTCCAATTTTCGCGTTTTTTATTGGTATGGTTACAACGCCTTTAGATTATCTGATAACCGGGTTGAACCTAAGGGCGAGGTTTTCGAAAAGGCGCTCTTGGGTTGTCCGATAACCGGGCTAACCCAAGAACTAGTTTTGAAGGGTTCTTTTGGAGTCGCCACCGATGTTTTTACCGGAAACATCGGAAAAGGAGAAAAAAGGCGTTGCTTTTCGAAAAACCAACTTTGGTCATTAGAACCAGAGTTGGGTAAGGGAGTTAGTTACGTGTAAGGGAAGTGTTAGTTCCCTTACGACGCCCCTTTCGGGTTCCCTATGACAGGCCATCTACATTGAATAAATAAACCGGAGAAAATATGTTTTTACCCTTTATTTGCGGAATTTAAAATTACGACTACATGACCCTACTATCTATTGCATAATTAAAATTAAAGCGGTAAAGTAGAGAGAGAGAGAGTATAGAAACCTCCGAGGCAAGCTTTCTATTAATTCTTTGAAAACTAGGGTGCTTTTTGGCAGCTCTTCATTCTTTACAGCGCCGGAATCTCTCGAAAACGCTATTAAAAACTCTAGAAAGCTCTCAGAAACTCCATAAATGCTTCGGAGGGATTCTAGAAAGAGAATTTGAGGAAGTGACTAGAGAGAGAATGGAAGAACTGTGTGAAATGAGGGGAATGACGTGACTATTTATAGGGATTCACGCCTCTCAGGTCGAGACGACCGTCTCGTCTGACAAGATCGAGACGGCGGTCCCGAATCCGAGACGGCGGTCTCGACCTTAAACGGCAAAAATCTTTATTTTTATGCCAAAAATCCCTCCTATCCTAGTATGAGGCCTAATAGTCTCTCCTAATGGCTTCTTAGGCTTCATCCATCTTCAAAAATGAGGTCTTCTGGTCTTTATTATGAGGCCGGACAAGGAGTCTCCAAGATTTTATACTGATTTGTATTATATGCTCATGTTGATTAGAAAAAACAATGATTTTTTCCGGTGACCGGATGATAAATTGTTGATTTTATTATTCTTTTGTAATCATAGAGCACTCATATCGCCACTAGGCTGCAATGCAAGCAAGCAATCAGGAATTTAATCTTCACGACTCTTTACAAATTTTACTTTTCACCACCCTTTATAAATTACATAGTTAAAAAGTTCTTGGATGTTAGGATCATGAAAATTTAATCTGCACGAGTGCGACAGTGAAGTAAACCTAGTCCCGTGTACAACAAGCCTCTGAAAACAAAGACAGAACTTGTACCCTGCACATATTAGGATATAGAATGGCGTCGATTTTTGTCAGGTTTTACGCGACCTTTGAGAGGGTTTGTGGCAGCATCGCCACGTGAAAAAGGAGAAAGGCGTCCGAGTTTTTTAGACACCGAGTTAATGAAGGATTTTCGAGGGAGAGGAGGCTTATCAGCGGAGGGTGAAGCATATATTACAGGACTGCTTGATGCTGATCTAAGGGAAGATCTTTCGCTCTCTTTCAGTTTCATTTTCAACTTCACTATCTCGAGTTTCAGGTCTTCGTTTTCTCTTCGTAAGACGGAGAGCTCGTTGGAGGATGGATTCGTCTTGTCACGAAAATTATTAGGAGAATCCCAACCTACACTACCATCCATGGAATCTCGAAGACGTTGCTGTTCATAGTAGAGAACTTGAACCACAGTTTGAACAGGAAGCCTATCGTTTTGAGCAGCGTGTGTACACGCGTCTCGTGATAACTTCTGGCAATCCATCACGCTGCACACTTTCTTCTTCTCCGTGTCGCTGAGAATTGGATGAGCCTGAGATTTGCAATTTTTTACTCTATCAGCAGCAATCCATGATGCTTTTATAAAATTGATACAAGAAGATTATTTAGAGTAACTATTGTAAGGTTAATGTTGTTATGTGGCGAATGAAAATGTGGTAAAATCAAAATCTAAAGCCAACTCAAATGTGGTGAAGCCTGAGTGTATTTGCTTTCTAGAAGAGAAATCTGATGTTGGTTTGAAAGATAGTGAAAATACAAAAATGTGATCGTGAGTGCTTGTTCAACCAAAAAGAAGTGAAGTCACCTGTCTCAGTTTTCCATCTCTTTACATGTTTATCCAATTAAAATACCATCATCGTGCAAACAAAGTTTTAATTAGAGAAACAGAAATTAAGGGACCCGAAAGAGAGACAGGTAACAACATAAAAGTTGGATTTGACTACTTAAAATGACTAAGGATAGAACATGGAATCTTAACATGTGTTCCGAAATACATTTTCTATGTTAGTCTGTAAGAATTCACGTCAGATAAGTAAGGCAAATAAAAATTACAGTAGAGAGCCTTCTATTATGACGCAAAAATATACTAGTTGTTGGATTAAGCGTGGATCACATTAAAAAATCATGGTGACCTTAAAGCTACTATGAGATGTGGTGGGAATGAACACACTATAGGTCACTAACTCATGACCAAAACGCACTTAAATGATTAATATTTCAACACATCCTTGACCCTACACAAGTTTAATATATAAGTTTCAGCCAAAATCAAAAAAAGAATTACAGTCACATTGGGTTAGGAGCTTACCTTAAGATATATGTCTATGGCCCTATACATCCCATCGTCTGTTGGTCTTGATTGTTGAGGAATTAGTTCTGCAAGAGCGATGAATTTTGAAACAGCTAAATTTCTGTCGGTGGCTACTTCAGCAAGGTAGTTCTCCATTAGCTTTCCAATCCCGTAAATATCACTTTGGGGTGGAGAAAAATATTCATCATCTGCATTATAGGTTAAATGTTTTTCATTTTCAGATTGTAGGTAATTCATCAGTATTCGCTGCACTGTATCTACATCAAACAATGAGTCCCCAGGGAAGGAATAAGAAGGAATGAGAAGATCATCTAAAACAGCCTGGCCTAGCTGCAGGGCCATCCTCTTTTCCAAATCTAGCCTGCAAGCAACCGTAGTCTCGAGATATATTGCTGCCCGAAGCAACATAGAAAGAAAGCTCACTGACATCGCATTCTTCTCCCTTGGCAGAAGGCTCACTAGTGTCTCCAAAACAACCCTCTTCTCGTGTTCCTCTTGTGCCTCAATTTCAATCTTCTTCCTTGCCTTTCCAAATATCTCCTGGTCCACAAAAAGATATTTTCATGAATCAGTGTGCATTTTGATTACTTGTGATAATTAATCACTTTATTTGTAATAATTAATCGTACAAACTATGTTTTAGCTTTACATATATCATTTTAGGCTATGCAACCGTCATCTAACCTTAAAACATTATGGTAATTAATTGATTCATATAATAATTGCCATAAAAGTCACACCAACACTAGTTTCTGATTGATTAACACTGTAAAGTTTTCTACACAGAGAACGGATAAATATAAAACTCATACTGTCAATAATATTACTTAATCATAAATTATTTTAGATATAACTTTGAAATGATTGTTATAGAATTTAATAAAATTGTTACTAGTGATATAATGTGACTGAAAGAAAGCAGATTTGTATTTGAAACAATTATTTCTTAAAAGTAATCAGAAAATAAATCTTTTCTAGGCACCATGTTAATACAAACATATTTTGGGTAAACATAGTCTTACCAAACCTCGTAGAGATTTCTGTGCATAAAGCATAATGATGGGGCCAAGAGCAAACTGTTTAAACCCTCTTGCCATCATTGCAATTATCACTCTTTGAAAAATGTCAATTCTGAGAACTGTGAAATCTTCAGCCCACCATTGAACTACTGGCCTTTGGTGAGATTCTATGCCATCACTGCTAATGTCACTTCTCATAGATACACAGAATTGAGTCTCCTTTGAGGCTATGAACGCAATAGCATCTATGCATCGACTGACCAATTTTGCTTTTTCTGCAATTGGAAGGAGCCGTTCTGACACGTGTAAGATTGACACAGCTCCTGAAATAGTCTTCAGTGCCACTTCATTCAAGTATGAATCAGCCCTTCCCACCAAATTTCCAACTGAATAATCCTCTGTCATCTCAAGATACTCTGCCACGCATCGAAGCATAGCAATGTTTTCAACACTTATCTCGAAGTTTATCCCGTAGCAGAACTTTGTTGCCAGTTCAAATGCTTCTGCTCCACCAGGGACATCATAGAGTTCAATGAATGAAACATCATCGTCACTGGATTCTGAGACCAGTTTCTCTATGTATCCACACTTAGAAACTAATGGAAACTGCAAATTATATTACAATTCATTAATTCAAACATAAATATTCTCTTTTGTCAAGGATTCGTGTTTCACTTGGTTCACTACCTTATGCAAGGAAAACGAAACTTCACCAATTTGAACGGTGACATCACTTGGAATCTCATGAGATAAAGCCCTGCAATTTAATGGGTGAAGTCATGGGTTTTCATTAATTTTCTTTACATCCAAGAAAAGGTTAGCATCAGCAATCAGCAAATGTATGTTATATGAGAGTAGGGAACGTTTGTTACAAGAGCCACCAAAAAGGAGTTTTAGAAGATGAGAAACACACCATTCACTGGCTCTCTTCATGGTGCTAGAAATAAGCTCTTAATTCTGAGAGACAAATCACTAGCAGCTAGCTGTAGTAGATTTCTCTTGTCACCATCAACCATGTCAGAGACAGAATTCTAGGTGGCTATAGTTTCTTTACCGTACCGTTGACAATGAAGCAGAAAGCAAGGTAGGAAAAATATTAAGACAGTTGAAAGCTCTTGGAATGATATACTAAACATAACTTCAGGGAAAAAGCGTAAGGGAGCAGAGTGCTTACTTTATATTCTATATCGCTTTGAAATATTACTCAAATGAGAAGCTTCACGGTGAACAGAACAAGAACAAGTATTGAACAATAATAAGGAGAGTTAGAAGGACCCAAAACTCAAGAAAGAAATGATTAATGTTTATGAAATCCCAGAGTAGGGTCTTGTTGCATGCAAGAAAATGAACCTTGTTGAGGGTACAGCGAGGAATAGGAGTGGTACTTTGGACGTAATGAGTAGGAGGAGGGGCAAGATATAAGAGTGGAGATTGTGATTGTGTTTGTAGTTTGTAGTGTGTGGTGTGTGCTTTAAGTGAGTTAGAGTGTAAAGGATGAGATAGTTGCATGTTGGTTGGCATCTACCGGGGTCAGCACTTTTTTCCACTTGGAAAGCCTCAAGCCACAAAGCCTTTCCTATCAGAACAACCTAGCTGATATATGGTAGTTATGTTTACTTCTTCAAAGAGACTAGTTTTCACCTTCAATTCAGGATATCTTTGTAAACAAATACAGGGAAAAGAAAAGGGGTTACGATCACAAACATACATGTTGATCCAAAATTATCAAAACGACCAAAGGAGAAAATGGTTCAAGTTGAACGGCCACCATGGGTAAATCACATCCTAGATTCCTAGGCCTATGTTTCTTTTATCCCAAGTTTATTTTAATTCAATAAACGAGAATGGTGCGTAAACGAGAATTGTGTTTAAATCCCTGGAGTTTTTATGTTAGTTATGAAATGTGAAATATTTACTAATTTTATTATTGTGGCACTAATACTAAAATAGGAAAGATAATCTTTAATAGAATTTTTTTACCTAGATATTTTCTTCATCTATAAAAGCCAATAACTTATTTAAAGAAACTTATTACTCAAAGAAGATAATGCATTGATTAATAATCTATTGAGTTGGTAATGTATAGGTGAAGTAACTCTTTGAAAGAACTTGCAATAATTTGGGAAGATGTAATCATGTCTTGGATCACCTGATTTTGATGTATAGTAAAAAATATCCAAGCATTGACACCTGGGTGTTGTTATAGAGGTGGTGATAAGATATGGTGGTAGCTAAAAGATATATAATGAACAAGGAGCACATGTAAGCATCAAGGGCATATTCATGATCTTGCTCCCTCATCATGCATAATAAGTCATAAAGGTCCCTTTTAGAATGCAGACTGATCATGGGACAGAAAGATCATTCATTCATACAAATCCATGTCAAAACCGAATGAGTTTTAATATGGACCTTTTCCTTGGATTATTATTGGCTGTCCAAATGATAATGCAGCACATAAATCTTATGGCCATCCGTCAAATTAGACCATGCCCTACAACACCTCCACTGCTATATTATTCTCGTTTCAAATCGATCAATCCACCACCTCTCATACTTGGTTAACCGCTAAGCAACAAACCCAAATGAAAAGCATAAATAACCTGAGTGCATCCCCTAAAGTAGCTCCCCATGCTTGTCGGGTTGCTTGCATCAGCTGTGTCTCTCAGATCCAAATTAACATGTAGTCTCTCAGTCATATACACTACTATCAGATGTATATGTATATGCCTGTATACTATTAGATCATCATCAAACCACTGCTTCACAGGCTGGAAGATGTAGTAGTGTCAGTGTCCCAAAAATGTCTATCTATGCGGCAAGTGGTTAGTCTCGACTTAAGAACTTCCCATTCAATACAAGCTCCTAGACGACATCAATAGTTTTATCTTATTCCGAAATAAATTTTACAATTAAATTTTGGTTAATTGCATGGCACAAAATACTCAATAATCTCCCACAAAATGCATATCATATATGACAAATATACAAATTATGAGAAATTAAAATTATAGAAATTTAATGAGTAATCTTGTCCTATAACAAATGAGTGCAAAAGGTGACCTAGAGGTATTATTCAATCTCCTGGTCTTCCCCTCCTCCAAACAATGTTATTGCTACTCATTTCTTATGTTGAGTATTCATTTTGAACAATTTATGTTCCATTTTAAAAGGAAACAGAAAATGAAGTTGAAAATCAGAAAGTTGAAAATAAAAATGTTTTCATTTTCTTTTGTTTATCATTTGAGTTTTTCATCGGCTCACAATTTCCATCACCAACTTCAAAGCTATAACACCAAGTTAAACAAAAATAAAAATATAATACAAAAAATTAAAATAATTTAAGAGAAATGAAGAGAAGAAATTAAAATACAAAATTTCGGTTTTCTTTCTTCCTTTACATATACCAAAACAAATATTTCAGAACAACTTATAATGAATAAATTTGATATCTAAAATAAACTGGTGACACGTTGTCTCCAATCCAAACATCAGCTATATCGTGGAATCCCAAAACCCTGGATCAACCAGAACCCAAAACCCTTTAATCAAATCCATGTCATCGAAACCCATTTCTCACCTCCACACACCTTCACTCTAATGTTTACACCTCACCATCGACCACGACCAAATTTCATTAACTCACAACAATGGAGCTTTCTTCTTCCTTCACACTCTCCCGCAGCTTCTCCTTCTCATCCTCGCTCACTCCCAACCCATTTCAAATCCAAATCTGCCCCAAAACCCCCACCGCGCAACCTTTCCCCCTCCGCATTTCCGCGGTGGCAATAAACCAACCGCAGGAGGAGCTTCCCAAGAACAGTCCCCAGCGCCTTCTCAAAGAGCTCGCGGAGCGCAAGCGACCCTACCGCCGAAATCCACGCGCGCCCCCGCGGGGTCTCATTCTCACGCCCCCACTAGACGACAAAAGATTGGGCAACAGGTTTCTGAAAAGCCCCCAACTTGCTCTCAAATCCTTCCCCCTGTTGAGCTCGTGCCTACCCTTCGCTGAGCTCAACCACGTCGACAGAGCGTGGATGGAGCAGCACCTGCTAGAAGCGAAGCAGGCGCTGGGGTACCCGCTTGAGCCCTCCCACACGCTCGGCGACGACAACAATCCCGCCAGAGAGCTTGACACGCTTTTGTACCTGGCGTTTCAGCACGAGTCGTGTAGGAGGAGCAAGGCGCGGCACGTGCGCTACGGTCACTCCAGGCTCTTCTTTCTGGGGCAGTACGTGCTGGAGCTGGCCTTCGCGGAGTTTTTCTTGCAGAGGTATCCGAGGGAGTCGCCCGCCCCAATGAGGGAGCGTGTGTTTGGGCTGATAGGGAAGAGTAGCATGCCCAATTGGATTAAAGCTGCGAGCTTGCACAATTTGGTATTCCCGTATCATGATATGGATAAGTTGGTCAGGAAGGAAAGGGAGGCAACTGTTAAGTAAGAACCTCTTTTCTGTGTTGTTTTGTTACTTTTCTTACAATCAGTGTGCTTCCTTTTTCTGAGGATTGTGAAGATGCTAGTTATTTTTATTAACTGTCGTTTTTTTAGCTTTTTTAATTGAAGTTGCTTCAAGTTTTTAAATTAGAATGAACATCAATTTGATTTCTCAAGTATTTCACTCTCTTCTAAATAATAAAGTGGTGAATTATATAGACAGTTCTTAGAGTATCGAATATCCATCGGTTTGGTTCTTCTTATGTTGATATATTTCACTAATGTTTTAAGGACTGATTTGAAGGATTTTTCATTTCTTGAGGACTACTTAACATGACTTCAAATACTTGAGTGATTATTTATATGAATTTTTTTAGGAACTGTTTAGGAGAGTGATACTTTGAGGATGAAATGGATGGTCGTCGATGTTAGGAATTGTAAATGTAGCTTCTTTACAATACGATATGCTCACTTTCAAGGAATATTTCTTTTAGACAATGTAAATACGGCTTCATCACAGCGAAGGTCCGCTGCGATGTGTTACCGTTAGGGAAGGTTTTATAACGCAGTCATGGCTTTCTCATAATCCTTGTTATATTGTGGGAAGTTGTGGATAAATGCAGCTGATGCGCCAGCATTAGTTGTGGTAGTCTTAGTGTTGTGCTATTATGGTTTTCGTTATTTGCTATTATGTTTACAGGTCTGTATTTTGGGCTTTGTTTGGGGCAATCTATCTCTGTTTTGGTATGCCAGAAGTATATCGTGTTCTTTTTGAAGTCTTTGGAATGGATCCAGATGCTGAGAATTGCCAGCCAAAATTGCGTAGGCAACTCGAAGATATAGATCATGTCTCTGCCGAGTTTGAAGGCAAGATAAGCTGGCAAGATATGGTTGTGTACAAGGCAAGTTCTACAATCTTCTGTCACAGTATTATTTATTTTGAAAGAGCTACCACATAAGAAACTAAATACAGTGAACTATGGTTGCCAAACCTAATCTTGCTTAATTATAAATTCAAAATTGTTTTTCTGCTTTTTGCCAGTTGTGCATGCAAAACGCTGTTTTTCAATATAAATGGCATATGTTATTATTTGGAGAACAGCGATGATGTTTACTGCTCTGCATTCAGCCTCCTGCAGATGCCTTGTTTGCGCATCCACGGCTGTTCAGAGCTTGTGTTCCTCCAGGCATGCATCGGTTTAGAGGAAATTTATGGGATTATGATTGCAGACCTCAGGTTATGCGAACCCTTGGATATCCATTAAAAATGACAGATAGAATTCCAGAAATTACTAAAGCCAGGAACATAGAGCTTGATCTTGGGTTGCAGGTATCTCTATTAGTGCCTCTCATTCTAATTTTCATTTTTCCATATCTGGCTACCATACACATTGACTTGACTTCTGAGGGTTGGGCATGTCTTTGACGCATCTGTGACTAAATAAATAATCATGCATGCTTCCATTGTCCCATCCTTGAGTTTAAAATTCATATTACAATGGCCATGAAGTTCAATGAAAATTAAAGTTGTCTGGAGTGGGGCTCTTACTTAACCTGTTGTAGTACTTGTGGGTGATTCGGTGTTAATCAATGACAAGTACTGAGGTATTGGTACAAGAAAATTAATCGATAATGAATTATTGCTGCTAAATGAATAATTTCCATCGTTTGTTAGCTGTTTTAGGTATTTGTTATTTCTCTACTTTATTTGGTTTGTCCATGCGGAGTTCACCTCATTGAAATGAAGATCATATTAAAACCACCTAAAATTTGTGCATGTTAAGACAAAATAGTTTAGTTAAGAAATAGTCAACGCATTTTACAACTTTCTTAAATCTCCCTTGAATCTTCCTAGGAAAATGTGAAGTCAGTATATCAGCTTGAAGGTTTCCTAACTCCCGTTCTAAGTTTAATGCTGTTGAGTTTCTTGTCGAATCACAGCTATGTTTCTTGCACCCATCGAAGTACAAATTTGATCATCCTCGATTTTGCTACGAGAGATTAGAATACCTTGGCCAAAAGATTCAGGTATTAATCTTTCTGTTCACTGTACTAATATTTGACAGAAATGAAACTCGTGTTTGATTCAGAATTTTATCATATACTAAAATTTTCTCATGTCTTATGTGCTGCTACATACTGTATGATTTGTCCTTTTGTACAGGATTTGGTAATGGCCGAAAGATTGTTGATGAAGCATTTAGATGCTCCAGGGTCCTGGTTACAAAATAGGCACCGCAGGTTTCTTATGAACAAGTTTTGTGGAAAATATTTGAGGAACAAAAATCTCCACCACTTCATTATATATTCCGAAGGGGTTCAAGACTCATATCAGCGCAACTATAGACTGAGATACCCAGTCAATACAGCTGTTCAACAGGCTCTTCACGGGCTTTCATATGCTGTTTATGGTAAACGTGATGTGAGACGTCTGATGTTTGAGGTTTTTGACTTTGAGCAAACCCAGCCCGAGGCAATGTAAATATGAAGAGACAGTACAACAATGACAATGATAGAAGAATTTAGAAGAATGACATATGATGATTTGGCCCACCTTGCTTTAATTGATTTGCAAGTTCTGTTGAAGTTGCCCTTGTATATATATTCATTGTATTCTATTAATTTTGAGACTGAGCCCTAAATTCTTAAAGTTGCATGGAGATGAGGATGCGTTATGTTTGTTGATGTGTCTGACTATCTGTTCTTCTCCAATCATCATTCACAAGTATGTGATTTTAGAATGAATATCACCTCATACTTGTCCATTGTAACAAAATTATGGGCCAATAATAGAATCTAACTAATCACTTATGAGCTACCCCTTCCTCCCCAAAAGAATCTCTCCTAACGATTTTAGAATAATTTTTAAGTTGTCTTTAACTGTTCACTTTCATTCACTTCACACAGTGATCATCATGCTACAATTTCATCCTAAGGTTTGAGAAACAGTGGTCATCTTCAAAACTTCCTGTTTGAACAAAATTCTGCAGGTTCCTCTGGTTGATTGAAAAGGTCACCTTTTTTTCCAATGATGATTTCTGGTCCACCTACGGTTGACTTGTAATGTACGGGTCCATTTGCTACAGCATTTGCATAAGCTGATTACTGCTTTTCAATGTTTCTGCTTGTTGTCATTTTTGTAACATATAATATTCGTATTGTTACAATTCCTAACATGCACAGAAAGAATATCGTGGTGCGTCGAAGGGAGGTTAAAGGACTGGCAGAACTGGCTGCAGCCAGGCCGGAACACAGTGAATGCCATTCGATATGCTTATCAAGTCCAAAAATAGTTAAGACATTCCCGTTCTCGTTTATTTTCCCAGTCAAGTTCGAGAAAGGCTTAAAATCCTAAACTAGCATGCAGGTCTGCTATATCTTCCACCCATTGTGTAGGGAGGTCCATCTGGTTCAGTCTTACATTTCTAAATATCATGCTTAGTCAAGTCACTGACAATATTTATTCATTCATACCAAGTGGTAAGTAATTACAGTTCAATAATTTTCTTTAATGTCTTTTTTAGCTTCTAGGAAGGCCTTGATGCCTACGTCAATTTTAAGACTGAAATTTTTTATTGTAGATTTATTGAAGACATTTAGAAATACATAGTGATTGGAGTGTGGGTTTAATTTTTTTGAGAAAAACCGGAGTTTGGGTATTATTTTAAAGGATGCAGCAACGGGGTCCATTGCGAAGCTTGATTTGAAAGTTCGAAACCTGTATTCTATCCATAGCAGCAAGTTATATTCAAAGTGGGGCAGCAACTTGGTACAAGAGAATTACTATTGATAGGTAGTATTTTTCAATTTTCTGTCGTGCACTGGGTACCATGCGCTCATATGAAAAGGCGTCATACAAGACAGAAGATTATTTGTTTAAAATAAAATAAATGTTAGCAACACGCTTTTTAATCCTCGTTTTATATGTTAACATTTGTCAAATTACAGAAAAGATGACTCTTATTTTATATCTGATAAACTTTACTAATTATCTATTTAGTAGAAAGAGCGTGAAATAGTAGAATGTTGTTCTACGCCCCTAAAACGGCGTAAGGGAGAGTCTAGAACGCAGCTTTATGGTGCGTATGTGTTTTTCCTTTACTAAAGCGTGGAAGCAGAGAAAATGGCGATGACGTGGGGAGTTTGTGGCGTTGAGCAAGGGAAATGATCTTCAAACCTCAAACCATTCCAAAAAAAGTTACGCCAAACTCGGAGGGGTATTATTCGTTTGACATTTTGACATATAAAAATTATTAGAATGTAAAAAGTATGTGTAATTATCCCTACACACGCATTAAATTTGCGCACGAACCACCAGCACTACTTCTCCGCTTCTTGCTAGTGTGCACCCTTGTCGCCTTGCGTGCGCCGGTTGCGCAACCCCCTAATGTGCGCATCCCCACCCACCTCATCGAAACTAACTCCACCACAATCCTTCACCAGCCCCACAGAACCCAGATCTCCGCTTCCAATCCCCAACCCATGTCGAAGGCGCGTGTCTATACCGATGTCAACGTTCTTCGCCCCAAAGAATACTGGGATTACGAATCCCTCACCGTTCAATGGGGGTAACATTCCCAGACCTAATATATTTCTCATCCTTCTCTTTATTCTCTTCTAATTTGCTTTCCAAGCTTTCTGTTGCGCCTTGATTAGCCACAATTCTCAATTAATTGATATTTTGCTTTTTAGGTTATGAGACTTAAGCTGCTGTTTTGTAGTTTTGTTACTCGTCCTCCATTTTGAATACCTAGACCTTCAACAATTTTATTTCACATTCTTTTCAAATTTCGGTATCCAACGGGGATGCTGAATGATTTCGTTTGTGTTATGATTATATCCTTTTGATTGGATCGTTTGCCTTTCTTACGTCCGGTGTGTGGTATGAACTCAGAGAAGCTGATTGGCCATGAAGAATCACCTTGTCATTTGAAATTGGTTGAGGCATTTGTTTTATCCAGTTTAAAATTAAATACTTAAATATTTGTTGATTCTCTGAGCAAGGTTCATCCGCATGATATTTATTTGGTCTAATTCTAATAAGGCTTTACGTTTTACATTCCAATTATTTTATTTATGAATTTTCTGTCTGCTATTTTCAGCGATCAAGATGATTATGAGGTTGTGCGAAAAGTGGGAAGGGGAAAGTATAGTGAGGTTTTTGAAGGCATTAATGTTAATAGCAACGAGCGCTGTATAATCAAGATTCTCAAGCCTGTTAAGAAAAAAAAGGTGAGATTTTGTTTTTACATTGATGTGGTTTTTGACCTTTGGGACCTGGAGAGTATGTGTGTTCTCCTAAGATTTACACACAAGTTTGACCTTTGGAAGTTATGCGTTGAATAGAGAAGTGAAGCTTCAAAGTTCAAACTAGTTCACGTTAGTTGAAAAACTCTGTAATTCTGTGTCCCCCTAAAATATGGGTGAGATTCAAGAATGTATAAACTAGGCGAGGTTGTTTGCATGGATCACATGCGCTATTTTCCATGAGATCCCTGTTGATTTCTTCCTCCAATCCATATTGGCTTCCCTCTCTGCCTCTTCGTAGAAAACCAAAGCCCTGCAATTTATTATTCCTCTTGGTTTCTCCTTAGGCCTTCTTTGTACATGTCCAAACCACTTTTATTGATTTGCTGTTATCTTTTCCACAATGGGTGTATCTCTCCTCGTATACAACATTCCGTATTTTGTCTTTTCTTGTATGACGGACACATCCATCTTAACATTCTCGTTTATGCTGTTCCAACATTTTTTTCTTCTTAAGGCCCAACATCACTACCATAAAATATTGTTGAGCATATAGCAGTAGGATAAAACTTGCAATAATAAACAGACGCCAATATCTTCCTTCATTTTAGTCACCCTATGTGTAGCATCCTCATTAATTTCCCTATCATTTTTTATTATATGTCCTTGAATTTCAAACTTTAAAATATGTAGTATGACATCTTTTCCCAGTTTTTCTTCCGTATCACTTTCTTCTTGCCTCTTGTTAAAATTACATTGCTTAAACTTTGTCATACTCCTACTCAAGTGTAAATCCCTCGTTTTCAAAGTTTTTGTCTCCAAAATTTGAGTTAGTTAACTGCTTCCCTTGATTTCTTAGCCAACATTATGTCATCTGGATAAAGCATCAGCATGCAATAAGGGATAGACTGTTTTGTATATGCCCAGTATGCATATCCAGGATTAAATTAAACAAGCACATAAGGCTCAGTCCTTATGTGGGGAATCCTCTTGTTGAAATGAAATTCAGGAAGGAGCGGGCGGGGCTGGGGATTCCACACTGAGAGCAGGACATAGAGTGGTTCTGCTTCACTGCAACAACTTGATTCTGCAAATCCTATTTTTGAATTTGTTAGTGGAACTGGCAGTCAAACCATAATCCCAACTGGTGATGCGAATCATTTAGGGCATGAAGAAATACAACTTTGAATCCAAAATTTTCAGTCAAACTACTAAGTGCTCCTCACATTTTTGGACTTAGTATATATCTTCCCTTTTTTGAAAAACACTTGCATTTGAAGCCTTCTGTTAATTTGATTTTTCTTTTCATTTTTTTTATTTTGATTATATGGTGCTTCATGTACTGAAGCATTCAGTTCTGAGATTTTTATATTACCTTCTGAGATATTCAACATCTTTTTGCAGATTAAAAGAGAGATAAAAATACTTCAGAACCTTTGTGGGGGCCCAAATATTGTCAAGCTTCTTGACATTGTCAGAGATCAACACTCTAAAACTCCTAGCTTAATATTTGAGTATGTCAACAGTACAGATTTTAAAGTTTTGTATCCAACCTTGACTGATTATGACATACGCTATTACATATACGAGCTTCTCAAGGTAACATGATCCTTCAATCTCATGGTATAGATGGATTGATTCTCTCTGTCCTCTCCTTTACATACTCTTCCTTAAAAGTAATTGGAGTATCTTTGTGTTGGACAAGGTTTATATCAATTCCGCATCTGATCTTATATGTATCGGCTTTTGTTTATCCATCATGGAAAATATTATCACTTTACATTTACACAAATACGCAAGGACCTTTTATTGTTAAATGAATGTTTAGTTGCGAATTGCAGGCATTAGATTACTGCCATTCTCAAGGCATAATGCATAGAGATGTCAAGCCTCATAATGTTATGATAGATCATGAATTACGGAAACTTCGCTTGATAGATTGGGGTCTTGCTGAATTTTATCACCCTGGAAAGGAATACAATGTTCGTGTGGCTTCAAGGTAATGTTCTTGGGCAATTGACTATGGTCACAACTCTATCTCTAAAGTAAAATAATAAAAGATTATTTCTAAAATTAAATAATAAAAGATTTATACAATGGATGAGCCAAAATATATTAGTATATTCTATTTTTACTAAACATAGTGACTATTAGGACCTGCACAAAGTTTATTATAAATTACTTAACCAGTTTATGCTAGATAAACATTACTTGCAAATTAGTTCACTTGGCGCT